TGTTTGGAGAAGCAAAAGATGAACAGCAAATGCAACAAGACAGGTGCAGAGTGGCACATGTACACCAGCAGCCTGGGGGGCAAATGCATGTCAGCTTTCACTCCCAGTTTAATTTTGCCCTGTGCAGTATCATTACATGCAGTATAGGAGTAAGTTTTTACACAGTGGTAAGAGTCAGCTGCCTTTTCTGTCCAGTGCAGGGTATTTCCAGACCATGTTGGCTGTTCTGGTTTCCTGGAAACTGCTGCATAGATAATGCCTTTCTTTGCTTTATCAATTAAAAAAAAGTCATTTTAGTATACCACCTATCCAACTACTGAAGTAGTCTTGTCATTGGGACATGAGGGCTTGCTTAGCATGCTTTCTTACATATTTTCTTTTCATTTCTGCAAAAACATGTATGTTCTTTGTGCCTGTCATCTGAATGAAGTTAGTAAAGGGACAAAAAGACTATTAAACTGCAAGCTGGAGAACATTCATGATGAAGGCTGCTGCTCTGGAGTTTAGAAGGGCATAACTTAAGCAAAAGCGTGAAGCTGTTTTTACTTGCAGCCTCACTTATCCTCAACTGCTAGACTTTTTTTTAAAAGGTGACTACAAACTTAATTTTGCAATTTTGAATTTTTTTATTATTATTATTTTAGCAGTATGAATTATTTGTGTTCCTTACAGAATTTGCTACCTGTTGGTAGATTTTGTCTGTAAAGGACCTACACAATTCTTCAAACTGAAATTAGTGTGTGCTTTGATGGCTTTGGGTGTCTAGGCAGCTGTTATGTACACTCCTACTAGATATTCATGATCAATATAGCTTTTGAGTTACCTTCCTTTTTCAGACAGGATGGTTTGATCTAAGGCTTTCTCAGCACCTGGATATTTAGTATTTTATACTTTTCTAGTACAAAGAGAACAAAACCATAGCTTGTCTTGATTTTTAACCATGTGTTTCAATCTGTCTCTGCTAGATCGGGCAGGTGAAAGCACGACCCACTCTCAGCAGACCTGGTTGATTGTCTAGGTGGCACTGTTGGAGCACCAGCCACTAGAGTAAACCCCAAGGAGGGTCCCCATAAAAGTTGACTTAATGCATCTCTTCAATTACTGTAGTCAAGGTGAAATTTCATGGTGAAACTGTGAGCTGAAGAAGCCTTTCAAAAATGATGACAGCAAGCAATATGCCAAGTGTTTTAGCCACCTCATTGTGGCTACTGGCAAAATACTAGGGAGCTGCTATTTTGAAGTTGCTTATAGATGGCAGTTGTTTAGGGCTGAGTGTTTGGTCACTTGTGGGTTTAAATGTTTATAGAGTCTGCTGGCAGGTGGCGAATCTGGAATGTGGTAATGCCAAACTCTTTCCTAGTACTCATCACCAATAATCTCAAAGGACCACACCAAATGTGTATTGGTTTAGTCTCTTTTACCGGTAGACTAGGCTACAGCAAGGCTGTTTGCTCAAGTACACGCAAGATTCATGCTGGTTCTACTACCAGCACTACCTATCCTTACTCCCAAGCTGTTGCTTCAACAATCTTACCATTGAACCATCTATTCTTGGCCTTAATGCAAAGGGAAATATTAAACTGACTGGTTAGGAAACCCTTCAGAAAAATTCCTAGTAGTGGAGTATCTAGTTGCATAACCTTAGAAGTATGAGATACCAGCCATGTTTTTGTCTGATGGATCCCACAGAGAGAAGCACTAGGCAGTTCTGGAGTTGTGAAGATTAAAGCACATCTGTTCTCAGTGGTGTGAGTACAACAGGTACTTCCTGGAAGTGTGACTCTAAAAAAGCCTCAAAAAGCCTGGAGGAGCAAATGTGACCTTGTGCATTCACACGTCTGTGTAGGCTGGGAGTTGCTTGTGGCTGAAGCACAGAGCTACAGTAGGTTGCAGGACTGGACTGATGTTTGCAGTTCTGCTTCCAGCCATGTTACTGACTCATGCTGCAAACAGGGCTGAAGCTCATTTTTCCACAAGCCCAGCGCCTTGACCTCCCGGTGCCATTCCACACCTTTTGGAAATCTGGCCAGGACAGTTACAAGGGCTGCTGTTTCAGGATGCACTTGTTAAATGCATTGCCCTTGAGAGACACATGCCGTCCTTTTTCAAGACAGCTTAACTCTGAAATTACTTAGCACATTTGAGCTTTGCTCGTTCTGTAACTCAAGTTGTCCGTGTGCCTAATAAAAGGAAAAAGACTTACCTAATGTCTGTGAATTGCTTTGATATTTGGGTTAAAGGTGCTGGAAGAAAATGCAGGATTAGTAAGAGAGGGCATTTCAAAGGCACCAGTAAGAGTTGGATAGCTAACTCCGTTTTGTGCCTTGTAAAATGTGTTCTGGAAATATTACCAATTCACACATTACTGTGGTCATTCAATTATGTGGAAAAAGTAACTGCATTTCCACAACTTCTTTTTAGTTTTTACTGTCCTGTTCTTATGAATACTAGGAAACAATGAATTAAATGTCTTTATTTCTAACAGTAAATCTCAATGAAGCTGTTGTGGTATAAATGAGGTTACCGTGTGCCTTTAGGAGGTTTATCAGTGTGGAGAGAAAGGCAGCAGGTACTGCAAGCGTAATGTCTTAGTTTGATACAGCACCTCCTGGGTGGTGGGGGAAGTGCATGGGGTTCTGGATTTAATTTTGTCTTCAGCTTGCACTTTCCTCTTGCTGTTGGCCAGTAAGAAGGCCCTTTGAAGCCACTTAGCCCTTGTCTTTGCAGCGGTGATTCAGAATTTCTGTGAGGATGGAATGTGACCTGAGGTTGGACTGTATCCTGTGTTCTTCAGCAGGGAGGAAAAGGACTTCAGGTCTCCCATCTATCCTCTAGTGCCTGTTTGCAGAGGCAGGCATCTGTGTGGCTATGTTTCAGAAGTGTTCCTCTTTTTATAAATATCTCATTCAATAAGCAAAACGAGCAGCTGCAGTGTGGTTCGATAATCTGAGCTGTGGATCGCAGCAGGAAATGCTAGGAAGTGGCTGGTCTCCTTGCGCATCGCTGGTATTATGCACCAGTGGCGAGAAGGTGCAGATGGGCAGTAAGACTGGAGAATGGGCAGAGCGCACTGCGCCTTGCAGGAACGCGAAGCACAGAGTCAGCCGTTTTGGGTCAGGGAAGGAGTTGCATAAGTTGAAAGCAGAATAATGTTTTGTAGCTCCACAGGTGCATCTTTCACCACGTCTCAGTGAACATCCCTGTTTATTAACTAAGAAAAACTAAATTCATATGAGCTAATGGGTTGCTGTTGCCTGGACAGTGATGAGTAGAAAGAAACTGAGTGGACGCAGTAAGATATTAAAGAGCTTTGTGGGAGACTGGAACATAAGATTGAACAATTTCTGGGTAACAAGTACTGAGCTGAAAGCCATGGAGGCTGGTACTCGCAGAAAAAACATAGCGATGGTGGAGTGAACCAGGCCTGTCTTCCCACTCTGTCTAAACCCAGAATAGTTAGAACAGTTTATTCTCCACATGCCATCAGTCTTCTCTGCAATGACTGTCAGCAGCGGTGCCTATAGTATAGTGGTGGGACTCCAGACGTTGAGGCAAAACTTCTGGTTCTGTGTGAGCTCCTCAGCAGCAAGCTGATAGCAGCACCTTGCACCAGAATGAACTGGCTTTCTGGGTGCTCTGTGTCCTATTTCTTTTTGGACATGTCGTCTAGTCTGTCTGAAGAGTTTTCTGCTTTGGTACATTTAGTTATTATTTACTCATGTTGTACAAACCTCTCCTTCTCTTTGCTGGCAGTGAGGGTGCTTACGTTCTGCAGGTGCCTCTATCAGCCTTAGTCTAGTTCCCTGCCACACAGCCATGATAATGTTGTGGTTTGTAATGGAAGTAATTACCTTCTCTTGCTCCAGCACCAAATTTGTCTTTTCCATTTGCCAGAGATCAGGGTCAGGGTGGGGGGCTGCACATGTACTTTCTTGAAAATGCTAAGAAATAAAGGTAGCGCTTTTTGCTTCTCTATGTGTGTACGTATGTGGCTGTTCGCACTGCCATCATTAAATGTCAGCAGCACAGTTTTGGGGAATAGCATGTATTGCCTTCCAGGAAGCATATGATAATGATTTTTTTTTATGCTCCTGTAAAATTGTGACTATGTTTATTTACAAAGGGTATAATTTGTGCTGTGATTGGAGTACAGGCTTAGAATAGGGAAGAATTTTCCCATCAAATCAGATGAAATTTCAGTCTTAAATTTCTTGGCAGACATTTTCAGAAATAAAAACGTTAACAGTGACAATTATGAAACTAATGCAACATTCACAAATTGCCCTTTAACTCTATTTGACTGTCCTTGCGTAGCTGTTTTCTGTATGCTGACTTATTTGGTTGCAAGTTAAACTACTTCAAAGAAAGTGCTAGTAACTAGTTTAGGCAAGGAAAAAAAAGTACTACATTACTCGATGGTAAACAGAGTAGTTTTTAGCAATAGAGTAGGGTTTTCTGCAGCAAAGACAAAACTAATGTCTTTACTCCTTCATAGCATTTTAAAGTGTTAAATAGTTAATAAACATGCTTAGATCATGACTGATATGTTAGCTTAAGATTAAGTGGTTTTGACACTTTCTGTAACAGTACTCATGCATGTATCATGGAGTTGCTGTAAGATTTTCACCGACATAAAACCCTGAGAGTCTCCCCACTTATGTGTCACTTCCCTTTCCTTCTGGCAAATTTCTGAGAAGACCCTTGGAAACTTCATGGACCTACCTTTAGAAAATCAAACCCGTCGCCCTAAGAGCTGTTGGGCCCCTGGCTGCAACACTGGGCAGCACGTCGCCTGCGCAGCACTTGCCCGCAAGCGTGCTGTGCTCCGTGGCTCCCTGGGCAGCCAGGTGCATCGCTAGTGCTGCTCGCCCCCACCACGCGCGCATACTTCCTTCCTTCCACCCACTTCCCCCTCCCCTGCCTTGGTTTCACACCTCTGTTCCAAAGTTCACGTTGTCCTCTCTCTTTCTCTCCCCCCCACCCCGCTTTCTTTTTAACAGCAGGAAAGAATTTCGTACACACCTCCAGTGAGCCCGGTACCAAATTACACTTCCTCTTCACCACTACATGTCCCAGTGCCTCGAGCGATCAGGATGGAGGAAGACACAATCAGACTGCCGGCACACCTGCGTGAGTGTCAGCGCTGAGGCTTCTTACATTCTTGCAGGGTGCGGGGTGGGGTGAGGAGGTATTTCTATTTTTATGGAAGAGAGCGGGGAAGCCCCCTGGCTTTAGACTTTTTTTTTTTTTTTTTTTACGCTCTAGCTGGTTTGATTTTTCGAAATATTATTTTTAACCAAAGGAAATTACTCTTAAATACAGTACATTATATCCCGCCCCCTGCTCCCATCCCCTGCACCCCCTGTCAAGGATTTGGCTTATTTCTCATGACAGGCACAAATGTGGAGGTTTTATTTTGACAGGAAGTGCTATGTTTCCTTCCATGGTATAGGAATTGTTCAGCTATGTGAAACTCTGACCTTGTGTCACAGCACAAACTGTGGCAAGTAGAGTGCATTTGTGCTGTGGGTATTTTTCAGGTTGTTATGGGTCTCAATATTAAATACTCCAGGTGCCCAGGCTCTCTACTACAGAGCATGTGTCCTGACAGTGGCAGTGGGAAAGGAGGAAGAATGACCTTAGCTGTGCACAAAAGGATGCTGCAAAGGAGGAAGGGCATATCACTGACATTGGAACAAAAACTGGAGCTTGGGGGCAAGGCGAGAGCCAGGCGCTTCCTTGCTGAGATGATTTAATGTTTGAGGAATAGGAAGGGCCAAGGGCTGCTGGCCAGCGAGAGGTGAATTAGTGAGATAGGATGGGGACAAGGAAGAGTGGAATTTTCCTTTTTGGAGGGGAAGCAGTTCTGATGTAAATTGAGAGGTTTACTTTTGTCAGGTGTTACATTCCTGGGGTACTTGAGCGACAACAAGCAACAGGGCCAGGAGCAAATGGAACTTTGTGCATTGCCATCTGACAAATGTGTTTGGGATTTCAGGGGTGAAAAAAAAGTCCATGTTTATCACAAGACATTCTCATTCCTGTCCTCAGCTGTCTTCCAGGCACACTCCTTTTCTGGATGCAAACTGTGCTCCCAGCGCTTCTGTAATCCTGTGCTCGCTCCCTTGCTGGTCACTGATTTGCTCTGCCCCAAGGTCACTCGTTGCCCATGCTGCGTTCTGCACAGTCCTGTTTTTGCCTGCTGCTGCCTTTTACTCTTTTCTGCCTGTCTTGCAGCATAGCCCAGGTTGTACCTTTTCTGTGCTTTCTGATGGGAATGGGAACTGGCGCTGCAGCATTTCTGGCCATGTCTGGTTGCTGCCTGAGTATCTGCGAGCTCCCAGACCCTGCTTGCCTGTATGTGTGGCTGCTGGCCTGTTTCCCCAGCCTGGGGAGGACTTGCTGCCACACTTACAGGGCATTTCTATGCTTTGCCCAAAACTTAGACAGAAAAAAAACAACACAGAAGCAGTTCTTTTTGCCATTGGCACTTTTAATCCCCGAGATTTCCCCCCCCCCCCCTCATTGCATTAGCTGGTACTATTTACTTCTGCTGTGGGAGCCACTGTCTGTCCTCTCCACAGCTAGGATCACGGCTGGCTTTCCAGTTACTTGCTGCCTTCCCCACTGGGTCTGGCAGATGCACAAGGCAGGAAAGCAGAGACCCTTGACGCTGAAAGGGGTGGGGCACTGTGCTTACTACCTGCTTCCTTCCCATCAGCGAGCCAGCATGCGAGGTAGTGTGAAGCCTATAAGGCTTCTTCTCAGTGAACACTTTTTATCCAATGTTTTTAGGTGTGATCGAGCCTTTCACCTTGATTTTTGTTTTGTTTTTTCTTTTCTTTTGATTGGCACATTTTTAAACCTGCAAGGAGCCTTCTTTCCCATTAGTATTTACATACCAGTCTGACTTGTAGTGTGAAAACACAGACGACTAATCATTAAATATCTGTGGAATAGTCTTCCATAAAGTTAGTGTCTCAGGTCATAAACAACATGGAGCAGGTTTACATAGTCCTACTAGTTGTAGTCCCTGGCAGTATAGTATTTTGTAGGTCAGTATGTGGTCAATATTGACCCAAACCCTGTCACCAACCAACTGACCCAAACACTGTTAGAACCACTATTTAAAGCATATAGGTTGATAGCTAGGCAAAAAGGGACCATTATGAATCCCTAAAACGATCTCTGGTATAACTTGAGTTACAGAACTTCCTTAGTAACTCCTGCGTTTATGTCCAGTCACCGAGCTAAGTGTGTTATGCAGAAAGATTTCTGCTCTTCATGTAAAGACTTCAGCGATGGGGAGGATATAAAGTCTCTAGATGTTCCTTCAATGCTTAATTATGCTCCTTATTTGCCTTTTTTTAAGTGCCCTATTTATAGTTTGAATTAGTCAAGCTTCAGTTTCCAACTATTAGATCTCATTATCTCCTTTCCTGCTAAATATTGTCAAAAGACTACTCCTGATATAGGTGCTTTTAGATAAAGTCACTTCTTAACCTGTTCTTGGCTAAACTGGATAGGAAGAGAGGTTCTTAAGGCTGTCAATCTTCCTGTAAAGCTTCCAGATTTCAAATTCTGTTTGTATCATCTCTGTGAACTGTTTCCCACTTCAGACATCCTTCTTGAAGTGAGGACAACAGAACTGAAGATCATATTTCAGGAGTAGTCTTCCTAATACGAGGTATAGAAATAACTAAGTGCCTCTTGGATGTCAGGTCATGAGGTTTAAGAGGTATTAACATCGGATTTTGCAATTCCTGCATGGACCCCTCTCATTTTTGTGTTTGTTTTTTTTGGTTGTTTTTTTTTTTTTTTTTTAAGAGATGTGTCTGAGAGACAACTTTGGTCCTAAATCCGAACTACTTTAGAAGTCAGGCAAAGTAGCTAATTTCTAGTTAAAGGCTGTGGTACTGTGTGTGAAGACTGGGTTTAGCTCCGCAGAGTCTGAGGGTTTTCTAGGTCTGAGATTTTGTTTGGTTCCAGCCTTATTGTTGTTTTTGTTGATTAGGTGAAGTGTAATAATTTCTCTCAACCCTCACTCATTCCAGTGTGACAGGGAGATATGGTGAGTTTCTCCAGTCATACACAGAGCTGATAGCTTGTCAGGCCTCCACTCATTCTCTGTTTCCATGACATTCTGATGGCATTTACCGAAATAAAGGCAGAGTTCAGTCCTAACCCATACATCTTCATTTCTGCCAGCTTGCAGGTTCAAGAGGTGTGCTACAGGTGCAGCTGAAGACAGCAGTTGGCCCAAGCGGAGGTAGAACTAGAGGCAAACGTTTCAGATGGAACATGAAGTGCACTCTGTGGATTCAGACAGTGTTTTATCCCTTCCTATTAGAAAATTAACTCTTTTTAATGTTTAACAGCACTCTGAAGGTGCTAACAGCCAATAGTATCAGGACAATTAGTAGAGCAATTTCCTTTGGTGCAATAAATTATTTCTCACTGTTGGGTGAGCAAATGGGTCTCAGCTATGACGAGCTGATTTGATCCAGAGGCTAGAAAAGGGGGAAGTGCAAAGTTTGGAAGGGTGGAATGCAGATCCCTCTTTGCTACAAGCATGCAGAGGAGGACTCCTCTTTGGTCAACACAGCTAGAAATATAGAAAAACGCCTTTTCCTGGGGGTGATGTGAAGGCACCTTCCCCTTCTCACACAGCCTTTCTTGTTTTAATTAGCTGCTTTCTTCCCAGCCTGCCCTGTTCTTATAGTATAGAAGTACAATGTATTCGGCCTTAACTTGAAAGCTCTGGGAGAGTGAGAATCATTTTCTGGTAATACACACCTTTTTCTGATGCTGTGCTTCTCTGGAAGGGACTTTTGACCCATACTTTTAAACATACTTGTTTGCCTAACATCCACTTATTACCTAGTAACTGAGTGTTGGGAGCATTGTAAACAAACTATCAGTGGGGAGCTGGAGAATATGTTTTCCTCTATTTTAGGTATGTAGTCAGAAAGTACAGTGGTCTCCAGTTCACTCTTTGTCCCTGGTGTGTATGTTGTGGTAGCTTTGCGGTGTATCTGAGCTCCACTAGACTGCACTAATGTCAGATAGAAGGAGTGTTTGGAAAAATGGAGGTGTTTACCGAGGATTCAAGAGAAGCAAGTTCAGCTCTCGCACAAGGCTCTGCCCTTGGTGCCTTCTGTGATCTTGGACATCTTATTTCAGTTTCCCTGCTGTAAAATGAAAAAAACATGAGTGCAAAGGCTCTTAAACATTGTAAAAATTAGTATAGTGACTGCCCAGATATTGTGATAATCAAGAATACTGAGATAGATGGAAGTCCTGAAACCATCTGCATACCTCTTATCTCTGAGGAAACTTACTCCATATTACCAAGGAGAAAAAGTTCTTTTTTTTTTTTTTTTTTTTCTTTTCTTTTTTAATTAAAACTGATCTTTTTGTCTTGTCTGGTACAATGTCATTAGTTACTCATTTTGTGCTATGGCCAATACCTTGTGGTAAAAAGCTCTTGGAACTGGATAGAGGATACAGCATTTAAGAGATGGATGTGAGAACCCTTCCCTGTGTCTATTAATATGCTCTGAATCAGAGCGAAAATAGCTTTTTCCTTTTTCGTAACATGCAAGATGAAAATAAGGTGGTTTGCCTTCTACAACAGCAACTGTAAATATGTGCTAAAGGCTTCATGGTTTTCTTTGTCTCCTTCAACATAAAACTTCTTCAACGAGACACAGAAATATCAGTGCTGAAAAAGGACTGTTGCATGCTATGATCTGTGCGGCAGCATTCCCCCTTGCATGTTTCTGTTGATTTGTACGGTCTGATTTTTATCTCTGAAGGGCATCTTCCCTTGGGAACGTGTGTGTGTTTGTTTAGGGAGATGAGCCTCATGGGCAAAGATTTCACAGTGTTTTCTATTGATAAAAGCATGAACAAGTGTTCATTTCTTCCTCTGAACTAATTACTCTTCTTTCTTCAGTGTTGGCATCCTTCATACACCCGCAGCCCATTGTCATAGCAAGGCACACTGCACACATTTTTCTGTACTTTTCTGTATTCATGAAGCAATTATTCTTGGCAGCAGCTAATTTTTCTTGCTGTTGGTTTTTTCTGAACCCCCAACAGACTGCACTGATGTTCAGAGTAAAATG